CGTTTTCTTGCAGAGGCTCGGCACATATTTTCCAAATGATGATGATAGATACACAAACACGAGTCAACTTTCCATTACCCACCAGTCAACTTTCCATTACCCACCAGTCAACTTTCCATTACCCACCATTCATGCAGGATTATACGGTATTTTTGTAGTTTAAAAAAAATCTAACTTTCTGATATCCTATATATTATTTTAGATACTTAACTTCATACCATATTCACATATCTGTCAATATCTGTTAGGTTTAACTTATAGAATTAAAATAAAAGAAAATAAGATAAAATGCTAACGCTATCCGCCGCATTATACGCGCGAGCAAAGCGTTATCTACACCTGGTACATTGGCGTTATACAGGTGCACAATTCCACTTGGTCCACTAGGTGGCGCCTCACACATACTGGTCAATTCCAGTACGGGCAAGTTTTTTAAAGCAGGAGAAGTAGGTGTGTTCACCCTTGGCCTCAGGCTGTGTAGAGGAGAAACAAAATAAAAACAGAGATTGAGTGCTGCATTCCTTCGCTTACTTGAAGTTTCAAAGCGTCCAAAATAGCGTGGGTTAAGGAAACATTGTTACTTAGATTGTGCAAAGAAAAAACATTATTTAAACTAGCATTTGGTTAATTCTTGGGGTTATCATATTATTATGTTTAATAAAACAATTTAATTGGTTTTTATGATCTATATTTAGTAAAATGAATAAATATATATATATATTTGAAGTTAAAATTTTTGATGTTTAGATTAGACACAGCAAATCGAAGCCATGAATGCAGGTTTTGAAGCTGAGGCTCACGGGAAAGTACCCTCGTTAGCAGCCGAATTTAGTAAGTTTGATATATACAGTCCGAAGAACTTGAGACTAGCAATGCAGGATGAGTTAAATAAAGTTATAAAGATAGCTCGAGTATCAAAATTATATTTGTATAGAAATTTGAAACGATCAGTCATCAGTAAGTAAAAATTTTAATGTCCAACGTTTCACTTTTACTGTTTCGTCTGGGACTAAGAATTGTAAAGAAAAAAACTCATGTTTATAGTTTTAATGCAAATATAAAGTGATGAACCAAAAATTAACGTAAAACAACAACATGAAAATAGATAAAACGTTTCTCAAGTCAGGGGTGTTTGCAACAGTTGTTGACTAGGTTTTGACACAATAAAAAGGATTCTGCAACAGTTGTTGACTACGTTTTGACAAGATAAAAAGGATTTTGAAATAGCTGCTTGTGTCGCTATTTTTTTTTAAATAAATGGTTTTGAGAATTTTATAAGAACAAATATTTTAATCTGGAAATTTTAAATGATGTTTTTATATCACAAAATTGAGAGTAATTTGTTTCACGTGGAGTACTTACCATAATTATGAAAGTTTATAAAAAGTCCGAGTGAGGGAGGTCGTTATTGTTTTTTTAGTGTAAAAATACAGAATAGGCTATCTGCACTCTGTAAACTGCAGGGAATCGAACACCGGGATTTAAACTTATCGCTCACTCAACAGGGGGCAGGGGGGGAGTCAGCCATACAAAAGAATGAATAGTTTATTTACGCTTGGTCCAACAGGCTACAAATACTTGTCTGTATTATCATACTTACAAGGTTATTTACATTTAAGGCTTTCCTGCCGTAATTCATCGTAACGTTTCACCAGAGGTCTTTGTAATGTTCTAATTTATTGTCCCAGTGACTGTTTTATTATTCAGAATGTTATTTCAATTATATAAGTGTATTTTAAGAACGTTCTGGTTGTTGTTCGTTTATAAATCTTATACTGGAATTTAAAATCCTCTTTTACAATGCCCCCTCCCCTCCCAGTGGCACAGCGGTATGTCTGCGGACTTACAACGCTAGAATCCGGGTTTCGACACCCGTGGTGGGCTGTGAAAGATAGCCTATTCTGTAGCTTTGTGCTTAATTACAAACAAACAAACAAACTTTTACAATGAGGCTATTGTTGTTGATATTACCGATGAAATTTAACGGTTATAGTTTTAAATGAAAGGATCTTAAGAATAAAATCAACAAGCTTATTGAAACTATAGCGAGTTTCAAAACGCTCTGCGAAGGTATACTGATTACTATATCAACAACAGAGATGTGAAGACAAATCAGATAGAAGTGCAAACGTTATTGCCATAATAACTAAGCCTTTTGGAACATTTTATCACACGATACACTCGACTCAGGGGTTGTTTTCTTTGAGTAACTACCCTTTCAACGTCTCTGTTTCTTTGAGTAACTACCCTTTCAACGTTTCTGTTTCTTTGAGTAACTACCCTTTCAACGTTTCTGTTTCTTTGAGTAACTACCCTTTCAACGTTTCTGTTTCCTTCAGTAACTACCCTTTCAACGTTTCTGTTTCTTTGAGTAACTACCTTTTCAACGTTTTTGTTTCCTTCAGTAACTACCCTTTCAACGTTTCTGTTTCTTTGAGTAACTACCCTTTCAACGTTTTTGTTTCCTTCAGTAACTACCCTTTCAACGTTTCTGTTTCTTTGAGTAACTACCTTTTCAACGTTTCTGTTCCCTTCAGTAACTACTGCCTCACGTTTCTAACATACGGAGAAAGACCATTGACTTATAATGAGTGGGCTTATAACCTTTAAATTAAACCTCTCGAACCATGCATGTAAATTTTGGAGTGCTTTATTTCAGTTTAAAACTTGCGATAAAAGCCGAGTTTGGTACGGTATAGTCAGCCAACTAGAGCTTAATGGAGATTTAATACTTATTACAATATTCGCATTTTCCTTATTAGCCAGTGTTATTTGTAAAAACCGGCTTAAGGTACACATGGTGGGCACAGCATAAATAGTTCATTCTGTAGTTTTGTTTAAGAACAAAACAAACATTCTCAGGTACATGCACCCTCAACCATAACTTTCACGGTCTTTTTATAAGTTACTAATGATGTAGTCCCAAGTGGTTCAGCAGAAGTCTGAAGGCTTACAACGCTAAAAACCAGGGTTCGATACCTGTGTGGCTTTGTGCTTAACACTGAAACAATCAACCAAATTGATGAAGTATAATAACATGTTAAAGTTAATACGGCAGTCGCAAGGATAATTATTTGTAAAATATCACAAACTCGATATTATAATTATCAATACGTTGTAAGCGCTGCTTTTTACTTCCTATAACAACCTGGCATTACCTGGTGGTTTAGATGCTCGGCTAGCAACCTGAGAGTCGCGGGTTCGAATTTCCATCACCGAGCGCCCTTTCAGACGTGGTCAATACAATTATTCATTGGCAAAAAGAGTAGCTCAAGAGTTGGTGTTTACTAGCTGCCTTTCCTCTAATCTATCACAACTAAATTAGGAACGACTAGCGCAGATAGCCCTCGTGTGGCTTTGCACAAACCAAACAAAGTTCCTAATATTATGGAACAAGAATCATTGAATGAAAATGTAGGTCATTGTTTGTTTTCTTTAGATGGGTGGTTCTAAGGGTGTTTTATATATTCAGTTTCTTATACATCCAGAGGAATAGACACTAACACTACTCCGTTTTATTTTTCCTTGAAATTTGGCTAAAGTGTATAAGATTGTTCATGTTATTTTGTCTTCTGCCAAACAATACAAAGTCAATACTGATTTCCCGAAGTGGTATTACTCTGTAAACCATATTGTTACATAATTTTTGGAAATGGTCAATCTGGATATTATCTTTTTATTTTCTAGTTTAACTCCTGACATTCATGGCACTTCCCTACTCCACAGAGAGAAGGCTACTCATTACGATTTAAAAACACCTATTAGAGGGTAACACCCAGGGTAAATGGTTTTCCTCGATGTACTGGTGAGTACACTAGACCAGTGTTTCTCAACTTCGCCCGGCATGGCCAGGTGGTTCGGGCGCTCGACTCCCAATCTGAGGGTCGGGGGTTCGAATCTCCGTCACACAAAATATGCTCAACCATTTAACTGTGGGGGCGTTATGATGTGGCGGTCAATCC